AATATATGTTGCTCTGCTTATGTGAAAAACCAGAAAAAAGGATCAATAAAGCTTCATGATCGTAATTTCTAATTCGAAAATTCAGGGTTTTATTTTAATGTCTGTGAGTAAACTCGAGAGAAGCTTAAAATCGAACTGGAAATTCTTTCACGTAGCTCGAATTTAGCTAGACAATGCATAAAACGAAAAACATAATAAAAATTAAAAACGCCATTATTATATTTACTTTCAGAAGAGGAGATATAAACCATTAGCATAATAAGCATATAAAAAACCACATTAATTACTCAACGTGTGAAGGATATCAACAAAGTAAAAAAGTCTTCTTCAATTTTTTATTTTACGTCGATCCATGTTTTGTGCCGTCACCGTTAGTGTGTCCAAGTCTAAATTTAAAGCTACATACTCGACTCCTAACAAAGAAAATCAACGTTCCAATTTGTTGAAAAATCACTTTTCTTTCATAACCTACACAGATAGCGATTTTCTTAAGCCTATCACACATTTAAATAAAGCCCATTTAGGTCTTTGGATTTCAATGGCCCAGCTAAAAAATAGCGACCTAAAATCTCAAATCTCGCCGTCGTTTATTCTCTTCGTCCACGACCACGACTAGAATCAAAATGACTGGAGTTGACAATGACATTACTAATAATAATGACTTTATTTGTATGATTGCAGAGGTTAAGTAAAAATATAAACGTTACTCACTACACTATATAAATTTTCGATAATAAATTTCAAATACGGAGTTTACATTTGTTAGAATATTTAGATCACTGGTTAATTATGCTTGTATCAGGAGAGAAGCCTTAACACATTCCACGTGATTTGCACGTGCCTCAAGATCCCTCTTGTACCTCTCATGAGCGTTTGTTTCTTAAAATTTGAATGGCAGAACATTATGCATTTTATCATTAAAACTTGATTAGTTGACAAAGCTTTAAATAGGATATTTAGTAACTGCAAATGTTCTCAAAATGCTATTTCCTCAATGCTCTCAAATGAAGCATTTCCAGAGCATTGATCTTTAAATATTTTTACAAAAATTAAAAATAAAATTATATAACTAACCAATTTATTTTATATTACAACAAAAACATATTATATTAACT